TGACACTAAAATTTTCTACAGTAGTTCGGACTCATCAGAATTAATCAACACTGTAAATATTGAGCTAAATAAACTTAAAAAATGGATGGACACAAATAAATTGTCATTAAACGTAAATAAAACAAAAGTAATGACATTTGGTTACACGAAAGCATGTCCAAATTTAAAAATTTTCATTGATGGAGCCGAAATTGAAAATGTTACTGAAAACAAATTCCTAGGGGTAGTTATGGACAACAGCTTATCATGGAAAGCTCATATAAGTCATATAAAGACCAAAATAGCAAAAAATCTCTCAATTATAAATAAGGCTAAACACTACCTTGATACTCACACACTATCCATCCATCCATTTTCTTCCGCTTTATCCGTTGCCGGGTCGCGGGGGCAGCAGTCTAAGCAGAGACGCCCAGACTTCCCTATCCACACACACTTCCTCCAGCTCGTCCGGGGGGACCCCAAGGCGTTCCCAGGCCAGCTGAGAGATATAGCCCCTCCAGCGTGTCCTGGGTCTTCCGCGGGGCCTCCTCCCGGTGGGACGTGCCCGGAACACCTCCCCAGGGAGGCGTCCAGGAGGCATCCGGAACAGATGCCCGAGCCACCTCAACTGGTTCCTCTCGACGTGGAGAAGCAGCGGTTCTACTCCGAGCTCCTCCCGTGTGACTGAGCTCCTCACCCTATCTCTAAGGGAGCGCCCAGCCACTCTGCGGAGGAAGCTCATTTCGACCGCTTGTATCCGCGATCTCGTTCTTTCGGTCATTACCCAAAGCTCATGACCATAGATGAGGGAGGGAACGAAGATTGACCGGTAAATCGAGAGCTTTGCCTTTCGGCTCAGCTCCCTCTTCACCACAACGGTCCGATACAGCGACCGCATAACTGCGCACGCTGCACCGATCCGCCTGTCAATCTCACGCTCCATTCTTCCCTCACTCGTGAACAAGACCCCGAGATACTTGAACTCCTCCACTTGAGGAAGGACCTCTCCACCCACCTGCAGAGGGCAAGGCACCTTTTTCCGGTCGAGCACCATGGCCTCGGATTTGGAGGTGCTGATTCTCATCCCAGCCGCTTCACACTCGGCTGCAAACCGTCCCAGTGCATGCTGCAGGTCCTGGTTCGTTGGAGCCAACAGGACAACATCGTCCGCAAACAGCAGAGATGAAATCCTGTGGTCTCCGAACCGGACCCCCTCCGACCCCTGGCTGCGCCTAGATATTCTGTCCATAAATACAGTGAACAGAACCGGTGACAAAGGGCAGCCCTGTCGGAGGCCAACATTCACCGGGAACAGGTCTGACTTACTGCCGGCAATGCGAACACAGCTCTGGCTCTGGTCATACAGGGATCGGATGGCCCTCAGCAGAGGACCCTCGACCCCGTACTCCCGGAGAACCCCCCAAAGGACACCCCGGGGAACACAGTCGAACGCCTTCTCCAAATCCACAAAGCACATGTGGACAGGTTGGGCGAACTCCCATGAACCCTCGAGTATCCGATGGAGAGTATAGAGCTGGTCCAGTGTTCCGCGACCGGGACGAAAACCACACTCCTCCTGGATCCGAGATTCGACCATCGGCCGTAGCCTCCTCTCCAGTACCTTGGAGTAGACCTTACCGGGGAGGCTGAGGAGTGTGATCCCACGATAATTGGAACATACCCTCCGGTCCCCCTTCTTGTAGAGAGGGACCACCACCCCGGTCTGCCACTCCATTGGCACTGCCCCCGATCGCCACGCGATGTTGCAGAGACGTGTCAGCCAAGACAGTCCTACAACATCCAGAGACTTTAGATAATCAGGGCGGATCTCATCCACACCCGGAGCCTTGCCACCATGGAGGCTACCAACCACCTTGGTGACCTCAGCCAGGGAGATGGATGTACCCGCCCCAACATCCTCAGCCTCTGCCTCTGTAACAGAGGACGTGACGGGGGGATTGAGGAGAACCTCAAAGTATTCCTTCCACCGCCCGACAATATCCCCAGTCGATGTCAGCAGCTCTCCACCCGCACCGTACATGGTGCTGGCAAAGAACTGCTTCCCCCTCCTGAGGCGCCGGATGGTTTGCCAGAATCTCTTCGAGGCCGACCGATAGTCATGCTCCATGGACTCTCCGAACTCCTCCCAGTCCCGGGTTTTTGCCTCTGCAACAGCCCTCACACACTACGCTTGTTATATTGTTCATTGGTTCTACCCTATCTGACATACTGTGTCGAAGTGTGGGGGAACAATTACCATTGTACAATAAAACCTTTATTATTATTGCAAAAACGAGCTGTGCGAATCATTCACAAAGCAAGCTACCTACAACACACTCATGAACTTTTTACCCAATCTAAATTATTGAAGTTTCCAGACCTTGTTAAGCTCTACACATCAATTGTGCTATTTAAAGCATTTAACAAATTGCTACCATGTAAAATACAACAATACTTTATTCTTAATGAAAAAACATATAATCTAAGAGGTCTTGGAAACTTCAAACTTCCAAAATTCCGATCGACTCGTAAAAGTTTCTGTGTGACTGTATGTGGCGTGAAATTGTGGAATGTTCTTGATCTTCAACTAAAACAATGCCAAGACATTCATAGATTTAAATCACTGTACAAAAACAATGTTTGGTCTGACTATAGAGGGAATATGCCTTGAATATATCTTCATGTTGCCATGTATGTATGTTTCTTGTATGTTTGTAATTGCCCCTGTTGTTGTTTCTTTATCATTGCTGTATCCTTACCATTGTTGGTATTGTCTGTTCCTTACCATTGTTGGTATCGTCTGTTCCTTACCATTGTTGGTATTTTCTGTTCCTTACCATTGTTGGTATTTTCTGTTCCTTACCATTGTTGGTATTTGCTGTCCCTATGTACCATATTGGTATTTACTGTCTTTACCATTGCTGGTATTTTCCTTATGCATTTGTTTTGCATCCTTGTAATACGTATCTTGTGTGTATATGTCCTTAAACCCATTAATTGCTACTTAAAAAACCTGAACAGTTGATTCAAATGTGCCATTTGATTTGTTTTTTGTACTTGAGCAAATGGGAAGCTTAATGAATAATGTTTTGTTTTGTTTTTTTCTTTAAGGCACCAGGGGTGGGATTAAATAAGTTTTCTTCTTCCCACTCCTTTTCGAGTATCTGTAAGTGTTTCTTTTGTGTATATAATATTCATAATTTTGTATAATGTAGATATAGCTCAGGGTTATTTGTACACAACTTTGATATTCTACTTTTGTTTTTCTGTACACATATTTACTCGAAATAAACAAACTTTGATTGATTGATTGATATTTAATTGACCTCCTGGCCTTAAATGTTGATTAAAATAAGTCATTTTATGAATTCTAATATTACGGGTAAGTCCCGCCTTCCCTGCTCTTAGCTATAGCTCAGAATCCACGGTGCCGTCTACTTTAACCAATCAAGTCATGCCAAGGGCTGTTAATCATCGGCGCTGATGCTCGCAGCTGCACATGCTCAGTTGTTTGTTTTCACGGAGCCTCCGAATCCAGCGTCCATTAGGCTCTGAAACTACATGAAAACTGAACAAAGAATTCTGAACATCCGCGCTGAGTTACCCATTTATAAACTGAACCTATATCTATGATCATTTATATACTGAACCTATATCCATAATCATTTATATACTGAACCTATATCCATAATCATTTATATACTGAACCTATATCCATAATCAGATCCTCTGCATAATGTTCAATTAATGATGATAGCTACTTCCAGGTTTACCGCGATCGCTTTTTTGTGCATTAAAACATTATTTTTTTTATGAAAACGTTAACAGATAATTCTGAAAACCTCCGTGCATGTGTATTAATAATGTATATGTTTAATATGTTCTCAGATTAACATTGTAATGTGTTGATTGATTGCTACGGAAACGTAGGCGTAGACCAATCAGAAAGGAAGGGGGAGGAGCTTCGGTCATTTTTTCAAATCATGTACCTCTCTCTCTTTTTTCTGACAAACTTCAGACAATCACTTTAAGTTTAGCGATAATTTATAATGAAATGGCCACATGCCACTAAACGTGTCCATTATTCTAAAGCAGGCCTGTTCAACTTAAGGCTTTGGGGCCGGATTTAGTTTCAGATCAGGAACAATGATGAGTTTGTAAAGTCAAAAAAGCGTATAATGTATAATATGTCTCCTGGTCCTATCAAGATGTGTCAGACTGGAGCTACCTGTCCTCACACGAACAACTCTAACACCTCTGAGCTCCCATATAAGATATATGTACTTTATTTACTTACATGTATCTAATAGAAAATACTTTATTCACTGTGTTATTATAATTGGTTTTTAAAGATGCAGCAATTTGGAGAGGGGCTCTTGTTTTAAATTGTCCTCTAATGTTTTAATTGGCCTGTCAGACTGTACAATAAGTCACTTTAAGTCACTAATGCACTAGGACTGAAACACCAGCACTGCTATTGCCACTCTTTTTTATTGTACATAACGTATCCTGCACAGACTATATTTTTAACCTCTAACATGTTTGCACACTTCTGTCTTTTGCACAATCTGAGTGATTTTATCCATGCGAAATGTGACATGTACATTTCTCCAGTGTGAGATCAATAAAGTCTATATTTTCTCTTATCTTATCGTAATGCGTTGTTGCTTTGTGAACAATGCCCTTAAAAACCCGGCATGCTAACAGTGTGCAGACTCGCCCCCTCAAGATCTGAACCGTAAATGTTGGTATTACCTGCTCCATAGAAACAAGCAGAAGGATATTTCCATAAAAGTTAGATTGTACATTGTTTACATGGATAGAAATGTGTTTCAACAAGTTCAAGGTTGGCTTGTTTGAGAATCCCGTTAACTGTATGTAGCCATAACTGCTTCAGCCGCTACAATGGATTATACAAAAGTCCTATTTCTTCTCCTTTTTGGTCGTGCAGAGTATTGCTATGGTGGAAGATTGGAGCTGTGGGTGTCTCACTAATGACTACAATTGTTCTGTGCCCTCAGGAACACTTTAATTACTATTCAGTGGACGGCGCTCTCGGACATCTGGTCTTTTCACTCAAATATGACGAGATCGGAGACCAGGAACATCTCCGGCTCATGCTCAGGTACGGACGCAACCAGACGGGTGATTTGCAATATGTGAGTAATGAAAGATTAAAATGGTTTATCAGAGGCAAACAATGGGGGAACAGGAGTCCGTTATGAAAATACTAGAATTGTGCTTGATTGGGTAGCGGATGAGACAAGTAAAAAATGGATCAATCCTAGTGACACAAAAACAATGGGAGAAAGGACTGTGAAAATAATTACATATAATAAAATGGATCCCAAAACAAAGTCCAGAATCCAAAAAACAATTCAACTGAGTGTACAAGGCATAAAAACTCAATGGACGGACAGCAAGAAGGAAGGAGCACAGGACATTTATCTGGGAGATACAGGTGAAATGTTAGGGTTAATGGCCAACAATCGACCGAACAATAAGTAAAACTCAAAAAGACAGACACAGAGAATACTAAATAAAACAGAAAACTAAAAATGACAACCCCGACACCAAGTCTGTTTTAATCAGTTTGAGCAATACACATCACAAACTGTATTTAGTATAACTGTTACAACTGTGACAAGGTTTGAGAGCCTAGAAGTACGACCACATTAGTCCAGTTCTCAGGTCTCTGCACTGGCTTCCTGTGGCTCAGAGAATAGACTTTAAAACAGCTCTGCTTGTGTACAAGTCTCTCCATGGCCTCGCACCAAAATATATTAGTGACATGTTAGTCCCATATGAACCAGCCCGGACTCTGAGGAGCACAGGGACTGGACTCCTGTTAGTGCCCAGAGTCAGAACTAAACATGGGGAGGCTGCTTTTCAGATTCATGCTGCTAAAACCCGGAACAATCTTCCTGAAGATGTGAGACAGGCCTCCTCAATGACAATGTTTAAAACCAGGTTAAAAACAGTTCTGTTTAGCTGTTTATATGAGGGATTGTATATTTTTATCTTTCTTTTTAATGTACTGTGATTATTTATGATTTTGATGCTTTCTTATTTTGTTCAGCACTTTCAGTTGCCTTGTGTATGAATTGTGCTATACAAATAAACTTTCCTTGCCTTGCCTAGATAAAGTTGCATCACAAGACTCAGTCTAATAGATTACGCTGTAGACCGGGACTAGTATGGTCAGACCGGTTTGGGAGCAACACCAAAAACAAACTAAACTTTATTGTAAACTTTATTGACTTTTATTGGATTATATTGAAACAGCAGGAATATTTATATGTTTTAATGTGTTACTTTTGTCTCTGTTTAGCACTTTGGAAGCATTCTATAAAATGTCAGTGTCAGATTTTTTTGTATAGCACATTTAAACCAACCCCAGTTGCCCAAAGTGCTTCACATGCACAAAATAAAAAAGAAAAGAAAACATGTAAAACGGTACATTTTGTGAATTGGATTGCTTTGTAAACACACTCATAGTCTCAACTTTAACCTTACCTAAGATAAATTGGTTAATATTCTTCTTTCATCACCCAGCCTTCCCACAGTTAGGTATGCCTTTTTTTTCCCAAAATGCACCTGCCTTTGCAAATAGATACAAGAAATCCATTCTGAGCCGTAGATTGCGTTTATTGACCAGGTCCGCTTCCCGACTGCCCCATTACTAGTGTCATAAAGTGAACAGCAGTAGTTTGTGCTGGGCAGAGGAGCAGATGTGAGTGGGCGGGGGAGGAGAGAGAGTACAAAAGGCTAAAGGCTGATCATTCCACATGTTGTGTTTGAACGGACTGGCTTTGTGTGTGTCCAGGACCAAGCTGAAAACGCACCACGATGTCATCCCCATCTCCTGCCTCACAGAGTTCCCTAACGTGGTGCAAATGGCCAAGGTGATTCCTTTCTGTAACCAGGGAAACAGCTATAGGTTCCAGGAGCATCTAATTGGTTGTTTTTTGAATTTTTATATAAAGCCTCATTTCCACTGCGCAAAAACACTGGAATTTAGACTCAGTGAACTTGGCTTTTTTACCCAGGCATGTTCAGTGTGAATTATAGCAGTAATTCATTTTGATTTAGTTTATTTTGTTTGTCACATACACATTATTTGCAGATGTACCTCCAGCAGATGCTCAGTACAGTATTCGGAACACGCAATAACAGAATAATAACACAGAAACAGAGACAGAGTTAAGCCGGGTTTAGTTGTCAAATGTAGCCAGTAATGAAACAGAAGGTTATAAATGGGATAATCCTTTGCATAATGACATCATACTTGTTCTTTTACACATGCTGCTCTTTCCTTTGTCCTCGTAATAAATATGTTTGAAACTGTTTATTTTTTCTCAATATGGATGATTAACTTTCTACACTTCATTATAATGAGATTTGCTCTGGTCCTGGCTGCACTGCTGTGTCATTTTATCTTTTGACCATTTTATTTTTGACAAGTTCCTGTCTTCCCCGTGGTGAAAAGTAGACACGGGTCCAAACAACGTACTGACCTTTTCCCCATTGTTGTCCCTGGTCGACGTGCCATTTCAGCACATGCTAAATTACACAGGGTCACAGCGGGGAAAACGCCTTAACTTTGACTTTGTTGAGAATGTATCCTAAAGTTTGGCACAGTTTCACACCTGAAAAATGACAATATTTTGACAAGAGACAGATATTGTATGAACAGGTAAACGACATAGACACCAGATGCACAACAATGTTCTCAATCTTATTTAATAATCGCCTGAAGTAGCTTTGCATTTACAATTGTCTCTCTTCGTTGCAGCTCATCTGTGAAGAAGTCAACGTGGACCGTTTTTACCCAGTTCTTTACCCCAAAGTAAGACGCCTCTTCACCTCCATCCATTCGATCAGACGTGTTTTTTTAACCTGAATTTCTTCTATTCAAAGGCCTCCAGACTCATAGTGACCTTTGATGAACACGTGATCAGCAACAATTTCAAGTATGGAATCATCTACCAAAAGTTTGGACAGGTGATTCTCACTTGTATGTCTTGTGGTCATTCTTTCTTAATGCTGGGGTATCTAACTTTTTTCTTCAAATCAGACGACAATGTGCTGTCAGCATCTTATTAGGAAACATGCTCAAGGTGTTTGTCTATGACGCTTTGGGCTGAGAGCTGAAATCCTTTTTGAGGGTTAGCAACTGGTCTGATACCATATTATTCAGACCGTAAATATTTAGGTTATCCTGAACATGTTTGTGGTCACAGCAACTTCTTATTTGCAATGGCATCATTTTGCAAAAGAGGACCCCAAAAATCTGTATTTTGCAGCTGAGACCAAGGTATAAAATAAATGAAATAATAGTTTAAAAACATTTCTTAAGTGGAGGACATCTGGCTCTCAATAGTTAGGCTGAGGCCGCGACTTTCTGTATATATAATAATAACAATGCAACGATTTTATATCACGCTTCGCAGCATTGTTCCTTCAGTCCACACACGGTGGTGATACATTTGTCCGGTGGCCACAGCTGTCCTGGGGCACACTTATTTTCAGATTGTTACTTTAATGTTATTTTTATTATTTATTGTGAAATACTATGCAAGCTACTGTGACAATGCAATTTCCCTTGTGGATCAATAAAGTCTGAGTCAACGAGATGTAAATGTATCTGCTCCCCTGTATTAATGAACATTTAACATGCAATGTAAGTATTAACTTTTATTCAAAAAAGTCCAACCACACATTTTGTTTGTCCTCTTTCTTAAAAATATGTGAGATGCCTGTAGTTTTCATCATATGTTTACCTCAACTGTCGGAGACAAAATAAGAAAAGAAATTATCCGGAAAATCGCAATTAGAACTTTTTGGTTAAAAAAGCTTTTGCATTTGGGGGAGAAAGAATGTCAAGTTGCATCCAAAGGACGCCATACCTACGGCCCCAAAACATCACTGCACTAGAAGAGAGCTGCGTGGAGGAATGGGCCAAAATACCAGCAACAGTACAGTATGTGAAAACCTAACAAAGACATATAGAAAGTCATGGCCAACAACAAGTATACAACCAAGTATTGAGATGGATTTCTGTTATTAACTTCTGGACCATAGGGCTCACCTGTACATAAGCCGCAGGTTTTCATGTTGTAATTTGGCAAAGAGATGACTGTTTTAACTGGTCACAAATTCACAATGTGATTAAATTATGAGGTGTTCACTGCTTAAACATTAGCTTCTATGCCTGTAATCATTCATCAGTCTGTTTTGACAGTAAATAAGTGTCCTATAGCAACTAAAACTTGATGGAGTCAAAGCAATAAGTCCATAAACTCAGCTCCGACATCTCTACCACAATAGAAATACACATATTAGTTGCATGGATGTATTAGCCGCAGGGTTTAAAGAACTATTTTTACGATACATTTTTTTCCACCATAATTTGCAAATACATTGTTAAAAAATGTGTCAATAGGATTTTCATTCATCATTTCATCAGCAATCATTTTTTTATCTATTAGTTGAGGTATACCTATGATTAAAAAGACTTTTTAAGTGGGAGGACTTATACTTTCTAACCCGACTGTTCAAACACCACACACTGTACCTTTAAAGTATTGATATTGTGACACGCGCACACACGTTCCCTGTCCCCTTCACATCCTCGTGCCCATTACATAAGCAGTAACACAAGCATTCATCCAGAAGAAGTCCTCGGTCTTAATTATGGCCGTCCTCCTCCATGCTTGGGTTGTCCCTTGTCACTACTCTCAGCAATCACGCTTTGTTTGTTTACTACGCTACAGGAAGCAGAAGAGCAATCGAAAGGCTCATCTGAGGGCACTTGTCTTTGTAAACGCCGCGTTCAGCACCGCTCTGTCTCGCTCTGACTCGCTCTAAGAGGTTCACAATGAGAGTACATATGCCTACAGCCCAGGTCAAATCGTGACACTGGCCTGAGCACGCCTTTGTGGAGGTGAAGGGCTAAAACGCTCAAAACGATCCTTGAGTAGCCCTGGGAAAAGCAGAAAGACTGTTCCCAAGACGACGCCTTTTGTTTTTGATAGACAATTTGCTGTCCATCAAGGCTTTATTGTTGGATGAGCGTCCTCTTTGCTATTGTCTTCTTTGCTTTATGTAAGAAGGTAGTGCTTCAGTGTGACTGCATCTTAACCCTTTAATGTACAATCCTTGAGGAAAGCAATGCAATTTTTTCTTTTATTGATTTATTGAGCACTAATAACACCAATATTCTTTATGTTTCTTTTTTTAACCATTTGTTTTTTAATTATAGGTCTTTACCAAATGGTTGAGATGCAGTTTGATGGTAAAAGTGCCTAAAACCAAGTTAAATGCTCCAAAGAAGTAGATTTCAGTTACAAGCTTCAAGTAGATATAGAGGAAATTATTAAAGGGTTAAAACGGACATGTATCATATTGTGGTTTTTGCATTTGCTCTTTTTGATATTTTATAATATAAGGACTCTTTTAATTGACTCTTGTATTGTTTTATACTGGCTGTGCAGCACTTTGTAAACACTGTTTTAAAAAAAGTGCTTTACAAATACAGATTTATTATTATTATCATTATTGTTATGCGCTACTATCCGCTAAATTCCAGTAATAGTCTGGATTATAAAGGGTCAAATGCTGTTCTCTGACATGTTTTTAATAATCCTTTCCTGGTCATGTGGGACAAACTACTCAAAGCAGTAACATGGAAGCTTCAAAAATACACCTTTAATATTGCAGTAGTTACTTGGTTCTCTGATATCTGTGTTCCTAAATGCAGTAAATCCACTGCCATTTTAAAACGTTTGAACTCGGGCTGCACTATTTAACAACTATTTATATGTTTGAAAAGTTGAGATTTGGCACATATGAAATAATACATTTACACTGTTTAGAATATATTTACTGCAAAACAATATAAAATAGTAGCGGTTGAATTTGAGAAGTTCCAGTGTCCTTAAGCAGATTTGGAAATGGAATAAGGAAGTCTTGTTTTTATGACAGCGAGAAAGCCGTTCACATCCTCCTAGCATGAACGCTATCTTTTATTAAAACTGTTGTGGCTTGAGAGCGCTGCGGAGATTACAGTATTCCAGAGGATGTACCGCTGTCTGCTCGTGGCCTCCTGCTGCATATTTTACAGTATGTACGGCTTTGAGAGCACAATGTTTGATATTATCATGATCAGCAGTGATAATCGCAGCTCGTAGCCCCTCACACGCTGTTCGAGTCAGACGCATGGAAGACGTGTATTTTGGTGTAATCTTAAAATTGCTGTGTATCAGAAATGTGTGCCAAAATCGGCCCAAAATTCACAGTGTATGCTCCGCTTTAACCCTTTAATGGTATCCTCAACTTTTTAGTTAGATCACCTTTTGAGTCACTAAATCTACTTTAAGCTTGATATACCTTTATACTTGGTTTACTTGGTTTTAGGCACGTTTACCATCAAACTGCATCTCAACCATTCGTTAAAGGCCTATAATGTAAAACAAAAAACAAAAAATTATTTATGTTATTAGTGTCCTACAGGAAAAAAAAACAAACATTGCGTTCTTCAAGGAGTGAATGTTAAAGGGTTAAGGGCCCAGGGAAATTAGATTCATAATGAGTCATTATTAACCACATATTCATTACTGGTGCACAAAGTAAATATTACGAATGTTATTAGATTTGTTCTTTTCTAAATCTTTTGGGGAGCGAAGTGTGCTCCCTGAGACCCCTGAATAAATAATTGTAGTCTTTGCGATTTTAGAATTGATGGTGATTAATCTTGTAGCCCCAGACTGAACACTTTTAGACCTTCCTCAGTGTTTCTCAAAAACACAGTTCACACTTGACAACCCAAAAACAGACAAGCTTTCGAATCTTCCTTCTTGAACAACAGGAACCACCATTTTAATCATTAATTCTTTCCAGACAACAGAAGAGGAGTTATTCGGCAACACCATCGAGAGCGCTGCCTTTGTGGAATTTCTGGAATTTCTGGGAGAGAAGATTGAGCTGCACAACTTTAAAGGGTAATATATATATACGTGCACTCGTTATGGTTTTAGGCCATGGAAGCGGCTGCCACACGTCGCACTATGTCACTTTCCATCAAGCCTGTGCCGTGAGAGCCGTGCGTGTGACTCTATCCTCTTAGACATGCTTCAGCTGTAAAAAATATATGTGAATGTTTGCGTTTGGCAGCTTTCGAGGAGGGCTGGACGTCACCCACGGGCAAACTGGCACAGAGTCCATATACTGCAACTACCGCAACAAGGAGGTGATGTTCCACGTGTCCACCAAGCTGCCGTTCACCGAAGGAGACGCTCAGCAGGTCTGAAGAAGCTTCCACTTTTCACTTTCACCGTAGGAGACATTTACTGCCATGTTTTGTTCATTTGTTTGTTTGTTTTTGTTAGTTCTTTATTTATTTCAGAGCTGCAATACATAATTTTACACTAATACAATGTGAAAAGGGGTTATTTTTGCCCAACCACCTCGCATCCATTCAACACACACATTAAGAATACATTACAATTTAACATTTAAAATACACTACTGTGCAGTACATACAGGACCCTATTCTACAGATGTGTGTGATGCTAAAGACACACACACACAGACATGACACAGATACACACAGGCGCACACACACAGACACACTACACACACATACACACAGGCACACACATATACAGGCACACTTACTACACACATTCATACACACACAGGCACAGTTACTACAGGATACATACACACACGCACACACACACACACACTTATTACACAAGGACACTTACTACACACACTCACAGATACTACAGGCATACATACACCTACACACACACACACAGACACACATACACACACACATTCTACAGGCATACATAACAGCACAAATTCAATACTGTCCCTTTAAATAAATCCCAGGGCTAAGAGACTGAACCTACTGGGATCATGGTTTTGGGGTTTACTGATGGATTCGTCTTGTTGCAAATTTTCAGCATTTCCTACTGTGACTTTTGCCTTCCTGTTCTAGTATTCTGATCCAGGAGGTCCTCTTGTTCATTACCTTTTTACTTGAATGTAACACATATATTTTCTAATTAAAATGAGGAAAACTGTGATATGGTGTTACGATAATAAAACAACATTATTATGCTGTTTTTACATGTGATTGATCAGGAGAATACGTTTATTAGTGAGAAACGTAATGGGATTTCAGGAAAAAACATTCAAATTTGCGCAGCCTGGTCTTCACCGTTTGTACACAAGGACATTCTTTACAGATTATGATTAAGAGATCCTTTTTGCGTCCCACAGTGAGGAAATTTCAGTGTTGCATCACCAGTTGTATAGAACAGTACAAACGAGGAGCACACAGCACAAGACATAGGAACAATAACATAAAATTAAATAAAATTATCACTCTAACTAACTCTAGCAAGAATAACATCTCTAACTTTAGCATAATAAGGAAGTGTGTGTTTGCTAATGCTGATAAAACAGAAATCTTCATCATGTGCTTATTGTAGCAGCGTTACGACAAAGCCCTCTCTGCCTTATCCCACATTCTCATCATTCATCTGCACATGCTGTTACACTCTCGCAGCTTTCCGACTCAAACGCACTGTGTGTTTGTCTGCGTGCGACAGTTCACTAGACAGATGCTCGGGGACGCAGCTCGGTGTGAGTCATGCTCCAGCTCCACGCGCCTCGGAACACAGCGATACACTCTCATTCATATGATCTTATATCTGTCTCAGCATTACAACTTTAACAGCTTTGAATTGATGATATACTGTAGTGAACTTTCCTTACAGTGGTGGCAGAACAATGCATTTTGTCATTAATTTCTTGTAATTAAAAAAATAATGATAATAATGTTGCTTGTCCCATTGGCAAATCTTTTTTAAGGCAGTGTTAGTGCTGTAATTTACAATCAATCCTGACAAAATAACATGGACAAAAGACATACAGTAGTTCAGGCATTCTTACTTGGTTGCCTTTCCAAGGAGACATGTCTGAAGAGAACGGAGCAGAGTTCAGCTCAGCCTCGCGTCCAGAAACATGTCTGAAGCTCAGCAGTCTCCAAGGTCCTTTGATAGTACAGACACACCTTCACATGCAGATAGGAAAGGAAGTACCAACACAACAAAAGACACTCCGTATTAGCGTATACAAAGCCTACTTCCTCCTGACGTTAAACATACAAGCTCCCAGACTTCCTGGAGTCTTCCTGGAGCTAAATGAATTACAATACAAGCTTTCTACAATATATTATTACGTATATACATTAGCCATTTACTAAAATTACACTTATTTACTTAAATAACATTCTAATTTTTGACTTATTTTTTATCATTTTTTGCAGTGTCCTTGCACTTAAGACTTGAGAGATGAGAGATTTACATGCATGTCATTTTCATCATTTGTATTTACTATGAGAGACAAAATGAGATTAAACATTTTTAGGAATGTATTTGCTTATTTTGGTGAAAAATAAGTATTTAGTGAATAACAAAAGTCCATCTCAATAATTAGGTTTATACTTGTGTTGGCAATGATAGAGGTCAAACGTTTTCTTTAAGTCTTCACAAAGTTTTCACACACTGTTGGTATTTTAGCCCATTCCTCCAAGCACTTTCAACTCTCTAAAGAGTCTCTATGAGGTTGAGCTCTGGAGCCTGGCTAGGCCACTGTTTCTTACAAAGCAATTCCTTTGGTTCCCGTGCTGTGTGTTTGGGATCATTGTCATTCTGAAAGACCCAGCAAAGGCATTCATCTTCAATGCCTTTGCTGCTGATGGAAGGAGGTTCAGGTGTCCGGGTCCCTTTGCAGAAAAACAGCCCCAAAGCATGATGTTTCCACCCCCATGCATCCCCATCACTGTAGGTATGGTGTTCTTTGAATGCAATGATCTTCTGATTTTGTCTCTCATAGTTTTGATATACCTAAGATGAAAATGACTGGCATCTCTTTGGGAGTTGGAGGACTTGGTGACCGACTAGATACTGTTTTGCCCCACTGTATACATCTTGAATCATTTTGATGTGTGTTGATGTTTGCAGCTCCAAAGAAAAAGGCACATAGGGAATGACATCGTGGCCATAGTGTTTCAAGAGGAGAACACGCCGTTTGTCCCGGACATGATCGCCTCTAACTTCCTTCATGCTTATATCGTGGTACAAGTGGTCAACCCCTGCTCCGACAACGTTTTATATAAGGTACAGGCATGGTTCTTATTTCTGGAATTTAGCTTTTTGAATAGATGTTAGGTAAAATTCTACTTCATAAGGTTTCAGTAACAGCAAGAGATGACGTTCCCTTCTTCGGCCCAGCCCTCCCAAACCCTGCGGTTTTTAGTAAAGTGAGTGCTTTTGTAGCTCTTTTCTGTTTCATACTTTCAATGTCACGTTCTTATCTGCCTCATCTTCCAGGGTCCTGAATTCCATGAATTCCTGTTCACAAAATTAATAAATGCAGAGTATGCTTGTTACAAAGCAGAGAAGTTTGCAAAGTTAGAAGTAAGTTTTCTCTCATATCTCTGCGGCTCATGGATGTGTTGTTGTGGTTAGTCTTTTGTCCCTAACATGTGTTTGTAGGAGCGGACGAGGTCTGCTCTGTTAGAAACACTGTATGAGGAGCTCCACATGAACAGCCAGGCCATGATGGGCATCGGGGGAGACGATGACAAGCTGGAGAATGGGAGTGGTGGAGGAGGGGGCTTCTTTGAATCTTTTAAGGTAATCTTTAAAGAACAATGTACAGGTCTTGAACTTTGCTATTCTACTGTTGATCTGGATTATCTTTGTCTGTTACATAATGATGTTACTGCATCTCATCTCCTGCCTTTAGGCTGTTTCACCTGCAGCTCCTGCCTCATCTGTGTCTCACAGTTGTAGTGTGCTCTGGTTGTTCCTGGCTCTTTCCCTATCGAGCTGCACTGACCACATATTGATGAAAACTGTCACTGTCATCTTTCAGTGTGTCCCATGAAAGGTCACAGATCCTCTCAGTCACATAGCAGCACATCTCCTGGCCTATCCTCATCTTTAAAACGTCATATTATCCTCCAGTGCTGTACAGACGTCTGTGAACTTGGCTACTTTCCTTTTCTTCTCCCTCACCTAACTATAATGAGTGTGAAGCCTGCAGCTCTGACTTGTCTTGTCTGTCGTGATTAGCATCAGCGCAGGCGTGTGACTGCAGTGGACGGGGCGACGGGTGGCCCTGGGGCTCTCAGTCACAGAGTCTGTCTCATGGTCTCTCCTCATGTCTTTGTAGCGGGTGATCCGCAGCAGGAGCCAGTCCATGGATGCCATGGGTCTGGCTTTCAAGAGGCCACAAACAGTCTCCACTAGCCTCAGCAACAACTTTAACCACAGTCCCTCAGACAGCCCTAAATTCCCAGGGATAGTAAGTACAGAGCCACTGCTGCTGCAGAGGTCTCTCCTTCTGCCTCCTCGCTCCTACAGCTGCTAACCACTAACTCCTCTCTCTGGTGGAGACGTGCCCCTCTTACTCACATCTTCCACTTTTAATCCTCCACTTCACATTTCTGCTTCAGTCTGAGGCTCCACTCACAATAAAGTGGTCACATTTCCTTTGCTATAAATGAACTTCCTTTCTGACATTCACTCTGAGGTTTCAACCGTTTGTGACACTAATGGTAATGATGTGTAATTACAGTTGACAATGTCCAGTGTGTGAGTGTAAAGTCCAACAACAAACACGTAATCATAATGTGATGTCTCATGTTAACCCTTTAGGTGCCAGAGTCGCAGACCTGGCTTCCCACAAACCTTTCCCGGAATTGTTTGTTTCTTTTTGCTTAATGTATTTCTGTTATTGGGGTTGTCCTCTATCTCTTACACAATTTTTCTGTAAAAGCTCTGGCGCCCAAAGGGTTAATATTATGCTGTTTGGTTTGATATTTCCACTAACCATGTTCCTCTTATGTCTGAATCATATCTTCTCTCACCGAGCCGAGCAGGAGCTAACAGACTGAAGTGTCCGTGCTCTTTCTGCAGGCGCTCACTTCTCTCCCCTTCAGTTTGTGTTGTGTATATTGTGTTGTGCAATGAAACAAGTTTAACACATGCTTTTATATTTGCTTTGAACTGACATGACGTACTGCATGTGAAACTCATGTATATATTTGTTTCTCTCCCCCTTATCCTCCCATGTCCGGTGCTTCTGTGTCCCTCTCCTCCCCTTTGTGCCTCAGTCATTGCTTGTCCCAGGCAAAAGCCCCAGTAAATATGGACGCCGAGGCAGCGCCATAGGAATAGGAACAGTAGAAGAGGTTCATGTCTAACTACATTACATTTACTACTTTTTCTATGTTTGCATGGCTTCGAGCATCACCGCTTTTGTTAACTGCCCACTCTTCTGCTAATGCTATATTTGGAATGAATTGTATCTTATTTGGTGCTAAGGGTAATGAAAAGGATTTGGTGATTACATTTTTTTTTCTGCTTATTTCAAACCTAGGTCTTTGTTTGACCAATTAGAACTCTCTTAATTCATTTTTGCTTTATCCAATTATTTATTACATGAATTCCAAGGACTTAATGTCGCCTCACAATGTACAGAATAAAAATGTGATAATTGCTTTTTGTAGTTACATTCGAAAGAGCCTTAAAGAGAAGATTGTCTGAACAAAGCTAAGAAAGCATTTCAGTAATCCTTAAAAAACGTGGACGGAATCTCGTCACGGTCAGTGGGGCTTGACATTAAGTACAAATGTTGACTTTATTTCTTTAAAACACTTTTCCTTCAAGTCTTTGAGATCAATCTATTACCAGTCTTGCAAACAATCAGCTAATGATTAAAGCTTGAGATGATTAGAATCCATTAAAAACCATAATTCCGGCTCCAACACGTGCTCTTCTCTTTGTGTCTATTGCAGTCTTTGATAATCCCGGGGAAAAGTCCCACGAGGAAAAAGTCTGGTCCTTTCAGTTCCAGACGAAGCAGTGCGATCGGCATCGAGAACATCCAGGAGGTGCAGGAACGGAGGTGAGAAGGGTCAGATTTATCTACAGATGTTTACAAGTCAATCAATCAATCAATCAATCTTTATTTATAGGGCGCTTTTCCTGCACAGGGCAACACAAAGCGCCTCACAGTCCACACCACACAATGCACAAATCATCACCATTAAAATACAATTAAAAACACATATGTAATTAAAAAGCATTAAAATCACATAAGTAATTTAAAAACATAAGAATCACACAAGTAATTAAAAACAATAAAATAGTTAAAAACACAAAAAGTTACAACAATAAATAACAAGGTGTGTTAAAAAGATAAAATTCTCTAGTTGTATGCACAGGAAAAAAGAAAAGTCTTTAACATGGATTTGAACATTACAGAGAGGCAGCCAGTCTCACATCCTCAGGAAGACTGTTCCAGACTTTAGCTGCATAGATCTGAAAAGCAGCCTCCCCCTGTCTAGTCCTGACTCTGGGCACTAACAAGAGTCCCGTCCCTGCGCTCCTCAGAGTCCGGGCTGGTTCATATGGGACTAGCATATCATGGATGTACTTTGGTGCAAGGCCATGGAGAGACTTGTACACCAGGAGAGCTGCTTTAAAGTCTATCCTCTGGGCCACGGGAAGCCAGTGCAGAGACCTGAGGACCGGACTAATGTGGTCGTACTTCCTGGTTCTAGTCAGGACTCGGGCTGCAGCATTTTGAATATACTGCAGCTGTTTTACTGCATGTTTGGAGATACCTGTGAGCAGGCCATTGCAGTAATCCAGCCTACTGGAAACAAAAGAATGGATAAGAATCTCCAAGTCTGCCCTGGACACAATATTTTTAATTTTGGCAATATTTTTCAGATGATAAAAAGCTGCTGATGTTACCGATCCAATGTGGCTATTGAAGTTTAAGTCAGAGTCCATTATTACTCCCAGATTTCTGACCTTATTTAAAGGCCTTAGGGAGAGAGACTGAAGGTGACAAATGACGGTCTCTCTTTGTTTCTCGGGACCAAAGACAATCATTTCGGTTTTGTCCGCATTTAGCTGGAGAAAATTGCATTGCATCCACTCACTGATCCGCTGGATACAGTGAAGGAGTGAGTCCACCGGTCCATGCTCTCCTGCAGTCAGTGAGACATAGATCTGAGTGTCATCAGCGTAATTGTGGTAGGACACTTTCATACTTTGAATTAACTGACCTAATGGCAGCATGTAAATATTGAACAGGAGAGGTCCCAGAATCGACCCCTGTGGCACTCCGCAGGTCAGGGCCATATTATCTGAGACATAGTCTCCAATCTCCACACAATACTTCCTTTCTTCTAGATAATATTTCATTGCACAAGAGAATACAGGTGTGACAATAGGTAGCAGACATACATAACCAGCAACGCCAGGGCATATGATACCCAAAAATGTCCCCAATTTGTACTCAGATCTAAGGCACACAGGTAAGCTTAAATTGACTGGACAGAGGCAGAAGTTAAACGATACTCGTTTAGTTTTTAATGGAGCAACTCTTGGTAATAAATAGGTTCTGTACATCAGTTCTTTGTTTCCAGTTATCTTGATTCCACAGGGCACACGTCTGCGCACTGACCACAATCTCTCGGTCATTGTCCATAGTTAAGCAGCATCATAGTTCTTAAAAACAGACGACTCGTCTGCAGATTTCGTCCAAACAAGAAGAAGGGGAGGCGGGCACGCCGCCAGCACCCTACAACATTAAAACATTGACACTGAAATAAAACATGTACTACATTGAAACAAAAGACAGACAAAAGATTAAAACAAAACATACCAGAAAGCAAAGTGTAGCGTTCCCCGCACCATACCGAGACCCCGAGCCTCTGACCATGCTCAGCTATGCGGTAGCCGGGCCAACACGCACAATGCTAAAAACAATAGTTAAATTAGTGACGCAGCCGACCAGCGGCGCAATTAAAAGCTACGAGCGGAGCTTACCAGCGACGCAGTAAAGTTGGGCACCACCCAGTTGCTGGCCTTAAGCCTCAGCCGCCGGCTTGACGCCCCGACACGACCCATAGCAACCTCCCAACTAGCCTGCCTCGCTCCGAGCCCCGTGCAGCGGATGTGACGTTGGATAGAGGAGAGGCAAGGTAGCGCAATTGACAGGCTTTTATACTGCGCCCCCTACTTTCACTAGGGAGCTTATGCCAGCTCACTACACAGGCTTATACCTTATCTGTGTATACTTTTTAGAGAGACTGATTAGTAACTTGTGATGCAACACTGAATTTTCCCCACAGTGGGATTAAGGTTCCCTTTATCTTGTGCGAGTCTGTAGGGTCTGCTCCATGTGTTGGTCCCGTATTTCTCTGTTACATGTGTTTTGTCTCGTGCTGCAGCAGAGATAGCTCGCCGCACACACAGAAGACTCCGGACAGCGGCCATGTCTCCCAAGATCCCAAATCTGACAACTCGTCCAATCAGAGCTCTCCGGAAGTCCTCACGACGGCCAAGAACAGGTCTGTGTGCGGATTTGTACATCTTTAGAACGTTTCAGTGTGTGAAATATGATTGTTTTCGAGTAATGCTTCTTCTATAACATGCAGTTGTGCTTAAAAGTTTACACAACCAGCAAGAAACTTTTTATTTTTTTTTAGATTATTATTATTACGCAAACACGTTTTTCACTCGGTTAGTGTTTGTGTGGAGCCTTATACTGTCAATAAAACATCCATTCATTTTCTTCCGCTATGATTATTCACATTATGTAATACAGAGCTAATTTTATAGTAGTGTCCCAAGTATTCCGAATGCAGTTCTCTGATTGGACCACATAACACAGTGTTAGAAGATACATTTTGCAGCAAATTTTCAATATTCTGGAAATTGAATATAACTAAGTCTTCTCCCAGTGCCATTATTCCAATAATAAGGTTAGGTTTATTAAAGTCGTGGGTTCTCTCCTTGGCCGCAGGGCTCCTTCCATCGCGGAGGCTCACGACCTGTCTCGCTCCTCGTCCAACGCCAGCAGCTTCGCCAGCGTGGTGGAGGAGAACGAGACGGAGGCCACCGAGGACTACGACACTGGCATGGTGGGTATCTGACAAATGCTGTGAACACACTGTGGTTTTTATTTGATTCTAAACTCATACCAATAATAAGTTTTCCCTACTGCACTGGTTCATATTAAAATATAAACCACAATAAAACAATATTGGTATATAATTGTATGTATTAAAACTGTTTGTATGTTTAATTAAACTACCCCATTGATTCAATTACATTCATTTTTGTACAGCCCTAAATCACAACAGCAGTCGTCTCGAACACATAGAAGCCATTGGTCAATAGGGAGCGGGACAACCATTGTTCAAACATTTTAAAAAATATCCATTATTGCCCCGAATCATCACTGTCCTTAGATCCTCCTGCATCTGCAAAAGTACCCACTCAAAGAAAAAGTGAGACGAAAGTGAGAAACCTTGGGGAGGGATTAATGAGAGAGGGATCCGCTCCCACAGATGAAGAGTGACTTTCTCTCTCTCATTATAAAAGTATCAAAGGTGAAAATGAATCCAGCCCTCAGCTGACTTCATCAGATCGGGAAAGAACTTCTGGATGAAAAACGTCACATTTTGAAAAGCGTGATAAACAATGACCAAACCACAGACCTGAGTGTTAACCTTTTACCTCGGGACAGGAGCCTCACTTCACTGGCTTCAACGTTTATCCACTGTATATTTGACAGAACCGCTATCTTTGCCTGCTCCTGTCAGATCAGTGAGCTCAGAAAACTTTTGTTGAACGTGCCCAGGTTCTGTCTCAAAACTCTTTTCGAATCACATTTGTGCCTTGGCTTTTTATATCTCACATGTATTGTGTGTTTTTCATGACATCTTCTCCTCTATTTTGTATATCTTTTGTGCAGGTAAAGCATTTTGGACAGCTGGTGTTGTTGTAAATATACTATATGAATAAAGTTGATAATAACTGATAACTCTGTACAACTAAAATGGCCCCAGATCGTCCAAATGAATAAGTAATGAGTATGTACGCTGTATTTTGGACCTGTGGCAGCGACATTATGAAACTAATTAAAATTACTAATAGATTAATTGCTGTACCCATTGATCCTGGATGTGTGCTCATTCCATAACTTTCTAATAATATAACAACAATGATGTAATTGTTCAAATATATCCTGAACAGACTATATTTTTTGCCTTTGCCTAAATAAAAGATTTCCCAATTGGGAGGGCCAATCGTCTTGATGATCCACCCAAAAGTAGAAAATCTTCCTGTATACCTTCAATATTTGGTCCAGTTTTGGTTCAGTCCACAGAAACTGAACTAATTCTAATCAGAAAAGAATTTCCAATCCAACTAATGTGAAACAAGTCATTCATACATACAGTAGATACCTTCATATTCCAGAAACCAACTGATTCTTTCGGCCCCTGACAAGCCCTTTTTTTATTTTTTTTCATCGGCCCTCAACCAAAATAAGTTTGACACCCCTGCTGCCCTATAGGTATGACTAACCCCATGCCTCCCACATATCCTGCAGGAGAGTCTATCCTCCGCTGGGACGCCACATAAGAGGGACTCGCTCACCTACGGGACGTGGCTGGAGGACAGCATCAGCAGCACAAGCAACAACAGCCGAGGCAGCTCCCCCGGTGAGACCCCCCGTTCAGCAAAAACAAACACAATTCAATTCTATTCTATGTATTGTTGTAGCATCTTTAAAACTCCAGTAAGGAGCCCGACCACAGTCTTATTGTTGTGTTGTTCAGGGCCGGGGAAACCAGAGCGAGTGAAAGGAGCAGATATTCGTATAAAACTGGAGCGACCGCACGAACACTCCTCTTCAGTGAGTGCTTTCTGTGACGCCGCGAAACTTGTGTCTGATTCTGTATTTTCTATAACCACGTTTGTCTTTTCCAACAGAATTGTTAGTCCCATCCGTAACGGTTTACCTGGATATCCTTGATCAGGTTAGTTAATGTGTCTGATTATTTATTTCTATCTCTGGGTTCTGTTATTGTGGGTGCTTTGTATTTATTATTCCATTGTAGAGGTAATAATGATTCTGAGATCTGGCGGACCAGGCTCTGTCAGACAGATGCATATGAGAAATGATTATATTTGTATGATCATTAGTGACGCTGTGTTTAATTTTATATTTTTTACATTATATTTATATTTATATTGTGATATAAATGACAAATACTTTTTTTCTTTCAACTGTATGACCTCCTCAAACAGTGGTTCATTCTATGTGGAGATAAAACTAAATCGGTTTTATGACAATATTTTTAAAGTTGAGAGCTGAATAAGAACAACTCCATAGATAGATAGATGATAGATAGATACAGTAGATAGCAACAAATACATCTGCCATGAAGTCACTGCTGATAATTTCACTCTAGTTTTGGAAGAAACTACAACTAAAGCAACATTTCTTTTTCAGATTATTCCCACAAGTGGCCGCACTTATCGGAGCAATGTCTTAAGATCAGGGATCAGTGAGGACCAGTGTTCTGTGACGAGAGAGCACCAGGAGGGCCCAGTCTTTCACTCTGCATCCACCTGGTCTCCACAGTCCTCCTGGTGTCCATAGATCCTCCTGGTGTCCATAGATCCTCCTGGTGTTCACAGATCCTCCTGGTGTTCACAGACTCCATGTTACTGCACAGATAAAGCCTTGTCCTGATATTTTGTGCACTGGGTTTGAAGGACAGTGCTATTGAGCTCTGTTTGTGTGAGCTTAAAATGACATTGGCATAAAACGTACACACACACACATGCAGACACACACACACATGCAGACACACACACATGCAGACACATACACACATGCAGACACATACACACATGCAGACACATACACACATGCAGACACATACACACATGCAGACACATACACACATGCAGACACATACACACATGCAGACACACACACACACATGCAGACACACATACACATGCAGACACACACACACATACACATGCAGACACACACACACACACACACACACACACACACACACATGCAGACACACACACACATGCAGACACATACACATGCAGAAACACATACACATGCAGACACACACACACATGCAGACACACATACACATGCAGACACACATACACATGCAGACACACACACACATGCAGACACACATACACATGCAGACACACATGCAGACACACATACACACACACACACACACACACACACATGCAGACACACACACACATGCAGACACACACATACACATGCAGCAACACATACACATGCAGACACACACACACATGCAGACACACATACACATGCAGACACACATACACATGCAGACACACATACACATGCAGACACACATACAAACATGCAGACACACATACACAGATGTAAACTACATGTGTGTGTGTATGTTTGCGCATGTACTATCAAGACCCTAAATGCATAACACACACATGCAGGCACACACACACACAGACGCACATACATACACACACATGCACACACACCCAAGCAAACAATGTTGAACACAGTCATATCCGATGATAAAAGAATGAGGCTTTTCTAATATTGTTAACATACAAAAATGCTTCCCGATAAAAACCATGAACCATAAAAACACTAGAATCAGTATTAAAAATGGAAACTGCAGCATATGTCCTTTCTTGTAGTTCTAATAGTATAATTATGATAATATTTCACTGAATTTAATTATTTGTCTGCTGGCAATTATTGTTATTGTCTATTTAAATGTATTAATTGTTTATTTATTCACTTTTTTTGAAGTGGCATTTTTGAAACACCTGGTACACTGGTCCATGGGACGACAGTGAGCAGCTCGGTATCATCTTAAACTGTGATTGTTGCTTTAAGTAATGTATAATGTAAATGTCTGTTTGATGGTCACATCTCCTTATGTGCAGTAACTCTTACATGTAATACTGTAATTTGTGTGACTCCAAACACTACTGACATTGTAAATAAAAGTTTTATAGTGGAGTACATTGTACAGGTCATGGAGCTGCAAATGGACAGTAACACGGGTCTAAAGATGCAGTTATTGAAGTTGGACTTTTGTCTTTACTTGTCACACTGCTTCAAGGGAACAGCTGTTGAGCTTGTGTGTTCCGTTGCCTTATTCTCACATGCGGATGGTGTGTAGAGTACTTTACAGACTGAACCATTCACAACCAAAGTCATGTTTTGTTGTAATGGATTTACTGTAAATAAACAACACATTCTATTGCACCATGCACACCATGTACATCTGTCTTTTGTGATTAATCCTCAGATGGTGTTTCCTTTTCACAGATTTAATGAAGTTAGAAAGTGCGATGAATAAGTTATGGGATGTGGCTGCCCAATACCCACAAGTGTAAACTAGAGCAATCTTCTAAATCTGTTACACAAGGAATGGAATAATGAGAGATGAAGCATTTGAGCCAGATCCTTTTGATTTGATTGAAGTGATGCCTAATGATAATAATAATTATGATTAAACGTACAGCGACGTACAGGCCCTGCAGCGATGGAAGGCTGCGGCCAATCACTTCCTCTGCAGAGCGCACAATGCGCTGTAGTCTCTGTTTGTCCCTGACTGTGGCTCCAGCGAACCACACGGTGATGGAGGAGGTGAGGATGGACTCGATGATGGCCGTGTAGAACTGCACCAACATCTGTGCAGGCAGCTTGGCTTTCCTGAGCTGCCGCAGGAAGTACATCCTCTGCTGGGCCTTCTTGATGAGGGAGCTGATGGTCGGCTCCCACTTGAGGTCCTGGGTGATGGTGGTGCCCAGAAAACGGATGGACTCCACAGAGGTGATGGGGGAGTCCATCACGGAGGGTGGGGGGACTGTGCTCTTCCTAACTAAACTAAACTAAACACAAAATCAACTCATAAACTGCATAAATATGTTTCTTATAGTGCTCTCTACATGTCCTGGTAATTTTTTTTGACATTTTAGTGCAAATTAGACAAAATCTCACTTTTGAGCCTAAAAATGGCGCCCTCTCAACCTTTTTGGTGGCACTACATTTGAATTTTGGTCCTGCTCTCTCCATTGGCTCTGGAGTGATGTCAGGTGATAATGTGTGACGTGCATCTGTCTGCGCCATTGATATAAACCCATCTAGTCTCCCACACACCCCAGGAGCAGGTTGGAGTATTCTGTCGAAATCTAGTGGATTAATATTTAATTACATCAGTTGACTGCCACTTCTGCTGAGATAATTCTGAGGCTTAGGTTCAGGTGTATAGCTCTACAATTATCTCAGTGTGTAATTAAGGGTGGAATGAGACTTTCTGGTGTGTAAACTCTCCTGTTTTTTTTTTTGGTTGACAAGCGAGCTGTCAATCACAGCCCAAACCACGCCCAACTCTAACCCCTTCTCCCTTCTTGTCCCTTGGTCCTCCAGGCAACGCCCTTTTTAGAAAAAATAAAAAAATGTCAAATGTTCATGTGGGCAGAGTCAGGCTTGGCACAGGTTGTTACTGTACTCCCGTATTCGTCCCAGAAACCAGATTTGTCCGGAAGTTCAGTTTGATCCAATGAGCATACACAGCAGTAGATTACGTCACGGAATCTGGACGGAAGCGGAAGTAAATATAACAAACTACCTATTAATGCCTAAACTTAACCAGCCATTCCCATAAAATAACCCCAAACCAGTCTTAACCCTAACCTTAACCATCTTTATCAGACGCCTAAAACTTAACCAGTCTCCACTTAAGGACATATTAAACTTTTTGACATGCGCAAACTGAACTTCCGGACGAATCCGGTTTCCGGGACGAATACGGGAGTGACAGTTGTTACCACTGCACCAGGACACCAGCCGGTCCACCTCCCTCCTGTAGGCGGACTCATCTTTGTTGGAGATGAGTCCAATGAGGGTGGTGTCGTCCGCGAACTTGATCAGCTTGACCAGTCGTGGCTGGAGGTGCAGTGGTTGGTGTACAGGGAGAAGAGCAGCGGAGAAAGAATATAATCCGAGAGTCCGAGACATTCTTCCCCAGACGCTGGTTCCTGTCTTTCAGGAAGTCAGTGATCCACCTGCAGGTGGAATCGGGCACGTTGAGCTGGGAGAGCTTGTCCTGGAGCAGGAATGGCAGGATGGTATTGAAGGCAGAGCTGTCCACGAACAGGATCCTGGCCTAGGATCCCGGGGAGTCCAGGTGTTGTAGGATGTGATGGAGGGCCAGGTTTATGGGGTCATCTACAGATCTGTTGGCTCTGTAGGCGAACTGCAGGGGGTCCAGGAGGAGTAGGCACGGTGGCTGAGTGGATAGCACTCTTGCCTCTCAGCAAGAAGGTCCTGGGTTCGAATCCCGGCTGGACCAGGGCCTTTCTGAGTGGAGTTTGCATGTTCTCCCTGTGTCTGCGTAGGTTTCCTCCGGGTACTCCGGTTTCCCCTACCACTAAAAATATGTACAATAGTTCTGGCATGCGCCTCCTGTTTGGCGACCCCGCTCCCATCTCTGTGTGGAGTGAGAGGACAAGTGCCCAAAAAATAATATAACAATTGTAAACCGCTTTGTGACTCTGGTCTGTGAAAGGCGGTATATAAATAAAGCTTACTTACTTACTTACTTACTTACTTACTTACTAGGTGAAGGACTTGAGGTGGGGGAGGACCATGCGCTCAAATTACTTCATGACTACAAATGTCAGAGCCATGGGTCTGTAGTCATTACATCCAGTTATCCAAGTCTTCTTGGGGACGGGAACAATGACTGCGGATTTGAAGAAGGGGGTGACGTGGCAAGACTCCATCAACATGTTAAAGATGAAGTGAAGACTGGGGATAGCTCGTTTGCAGTGTCTCAGGGTGACGAGTGAGATTCCATCTGGGCCGGGAGTAAACTCATGTGGGGATACTGTCACATCGTTACACCAGTTGCCTCCCAAGAGCTCACAATGGCAGTCTGCAC